GCACAGTTTGCTGTCCTCTGAAGATGCCGGCCACAGAGACTGGCGAAACGTTAGGAAGAACCACTTTCAGAACACGGCCAAGAAGCCCAAAAAACCCACAACCATTAGATCCCGGCCGTGAAAGCCTTCGCGAATACAGAGGATGAGATGGTTGGACAGTGTCATCGAAGCTACCAACATGAATTTGATCAAACTCCAGGAGGCAGTGGAAGACAGGAGGGCCTGGCATGCTCTCTTCCATGGGGTCATGAAGAGTCGGACATGACTTAATGACTAAACAACAGCAACTGGATACATCCATAGAGTCATAAGAGGATAAAAAGCTGAATCTTAAAAATAAATCTGCTTAAATTGCCCAAAATGTAACCCTGTTAGCATGCTGTAGGAAAAAGATACCCTGTATAATTTTAAAGGTTGCCAAAATTATTGTAGCATAAGCTTCTGTGATCCACACATGCATTTTAACAGAGATGAATACTGTCTTAGGACAAATACGCAAAAATGGACCGAATCAGGGGTATCTGAGTAACTCGAGAGCAACCACAGAAGAAAGATCCACTGGTAGCCAATGGGGTGGAGCAACATTCACACAGATCTTTTATGTTCCACCCAGCATTTGATTAAAAATCTTTTAGCCAAAGATGCTCAGTGATCTGAACTAGAGGAGAAATTAACAAGACAATGCTTCAGGCACCATAGAAGAACACAAGTGATAGATGAACATCACCATGAAGCTAAAGAGCTACTCGGGACACTTCAGTGAGGCACTATGATGACTTAAAACTGGGATCACCATGCTCTGTATATCCTGTTGCAGCCACTTCTACAGCCACTTTGTGTAGATGCACAAGTTGAGTTGAAATGCAACATCACTGCTAGTTAGGATTTACATTCTAGAACTATGTTTTCCTTATTATCTATCTTAGTTAATCTAGTATTAGTAGTATGTGTGACAGAGATTATGGATGAATGGCTGCATGCCAATTGTACTAGCTCTAATTGGCTAGGTCAGAACTTGGGTACTATGTCTGTTTTTCTCCACCTTTTTATCCTATTGCCTACTGGCTTCGGTACAGCCACTAGAATTCTTCTTGTGGACAGAGTAAAATCCTTCTAATTCCCATGTTGCCAAAATTGATGGCACTGTGCAGCCCCCAACCAAGGTCAGAGCCATTTGTACCTTCCATGTTTGTGAGAATGGGTTTTTTCATGGAAATCTGTTGTGTGTGTTATGTGTCATCTAGTCTGAACCAAATCCTAAATGTCCCTAATAAGATTTTCAATGTAAGTGAGATATTTCAGGAGAGGCTTTAGCAATGTCACCCCTCTATAAGTTTCTATGGCCAAGAAAGCATTCAAACCTAGGCCTCCTGAGTTCTAATCTGTCACTTTGTCCACTATATAGTGACTACAACATCAAGGATATAGAAGTGCACAAGGACAAAGATCAGGTCAGAGGGTCACCAGGAGGGCACAGAGTGGGTCAGACACCTATCTGTGTTTCCTTATTAGGGCATGGGGCAGGTCTGGGGCTGCTGCTGCACATCCCAGCGTTTTAACTTAAGATCTCCGTGCATTCCTTTGACCCCCCCCCCCTCAGAGCCAGCTTCTTCACGACTCTCCCTTCCCTTTAACACCTGGGAAGAATAAACTGAAACCAAACAAGCAACACGTGGGGCTGGGAGAGAATAAGAAAACACGCTTAGGATGGAGGACGCGAGAGGCCAAATCCCTGGTTTTGTGTACAAACTCTGGATGGGCGTCTCACGCGGTCCCAGACTCCGTTGACAGAACCGGACACGCGTGCGAAGAGACCAGCTGCTCAATGGTTCCGTGCTTCGTTCACACGTTACCAAAAACCCTTTCCCCCGAAAACTAGCATAAGGCATACGCGAAGACGCGAGTTTCACGCAGATTTGGCAACGCGTGAAGCGGCCCTTAAAAGAGGCACTGAAAAGGAAAGTGTGCCACTCTCCTTGACAGCGGCCGCCAGCCGCTGTTTCGACTTTTCTCGTTACCTGTTTCGACTTTTCTCGTTCTCCTTTCAGCGACTCTGGCTGAGGCGCACTAGCTGCCGGGTCGCCTTTCCCAGCGACGGGCCCCTCGGCCCCTGCTCCCCGAGGGTCCCCCATTCCCTCGGCTCGCCTCGCTGGACTAACAGGAGGGAGAAGCCCGCCGTGTTCCCTTCGGCTGACCGGGCGGCTGCGTCCTGGAATCAACCGGAAAGAGCTCGAAACAACTATTCCCACCTAGAACCCGCCCCCTCCAAGGCTTTGCTCTGTTTCGTTGGCTCCTTACAGCGTCCCTCACTTAAAGTCTCGCGTGGGGGACGGCAGAGTCTCGCGAGAACTGATGGAAATTGCTTGGGGGCGAGTAAAAGTTGAATATAAGGCAGGGAACGCAAATGTCATAATAGTCCCGATGTGGTGAAAGAGCGGCGTAGTCCGGCTCGCAGTGATTGCATTTTCGCAAAGTAATTTAAGTGAATGGCTGTACTAGCCCACTGGTGATGTTTTCAGGTGTCTTGCCGTGCAGTACAACCCAGCAAAGAAGTCCATACCTTTTCACCCGAAGAAATGCACAGCTGAATGCCATGAGACTTACGGGGGAGGGGGGGGAATGCCTGTATGCTAAAAATATTTATGTGATTAAAATGAACGTGGGTTATTTGTATTTTTTTGTGGTGTACGTGAGAAATTTCATGGCAGAAGTTGCTGTTTATTTTACTGTATTGCTTAATTGTTTTTCAAGACAATTACTGCCTGAGAAAGAGACATGCCACTAAGCATAAAAATCCATTAAAGGCTGTGGTGAAGGTCACGTCTATACATCCTTGGTTGTATATAAGTGTTATAGTGGTAATTTCATTTGTTTCTTTGATTCCCGTAAATAAATTTCACATTATTTTTAGGGGTTTTTCCCCCCTTTTCCATCAGCACTTTGTATTAGTATCCTTGTATGGAAAACATATGGTGATTACTTCTCATAGGATTGTGGTGATAAAACATGTTCTCTGAGGTTTTTCTAGAATATTGATTTTTGATAAATACATTACGATTTTATTTGTTAACCACTGAAACACATAATTGTTCATTCTTTTGAGGCACTGAGAAAAAAATAATAACTGAGTAAACTCTTGAAAATCTCTGGCTCAGAGCAGTGAGGTCTGTGGTCCAAAACAATGATAGATCTCTGCCAACACTTGGAGATGTACCATTGAGTTCTTGAAACCCAGAAGAGTCCAAGGAAGTAGACTCCCAGGAAGATGTCTTCTGTACCCATGCATCTTGAAAGGTCTGAACCCAAACTACTACAAAGGTAAAATGGCTCTCCAGTCTGCCAGTTTGACTGTATGACATCAGGTAATAGGCTGTATTTTTGTCTTCCAATACTGAAGGGAGATCCAGCTCCGAGAATGTGAACTGTCTCTGGTCTGCATGGCATGAAACCATTCTGGGCTTTTAGATTCCCGTGCCTACATGTTAGGCTTCAAGCAGTGAACTCTTGCTGGCTTTGTTTTATGCTCTACTTGTTTTAAAGTAGATAAAGCCTTTTTCTTATCTTTCTTTGCAACAAGCACTAAAATATGCCCAAATGGCTTAGAACCAAAGAACAAAAAGATCAGCCTCTCAGTTCCTGAGACACACATTCCTTATATTCATGACATTGGCAGGCACCACTCAATATCTCAGCTGGATCATATTAGTAAAGAATCAGTAAGGGCTGCTGCCAAAGCTGGCTTCCAAAGTGCATCCTTTGTGGTTTTATGGCCTTTATTCTGCAAGATCCTCTTACCACAAGTGGACTTTCCTGGTGAAACTAGAATTAATAACCAGTCTAAAGGCTTAAAGCCCTCTGCAGAGCTGCCCTGATCCTCAATATAAGACTGAGCTCAGGGTGGCCTCACACCCTGGAATGGGTTGATTTGCTGGACTTTCCTGGTGAAACTAGAATTACTAACCAGTCCAAAGGCTTTAAAGCCCTCTGCAGAGCTGATCCTCAATATAAGACTGAGCTCATGAAAGCCTGGGTTGGCCTCACACCCTGGAATGGGTTGATTTGATAGCACAAAGCTTGTCAGGCAGAGAAAGGGTTACTCAAAAGTTCTAGAATGCCATCTTGGAAGATGCAGAAGACTTAGCTAGGCGGAGGTGGCCATGGCAACTACAGACACCTCAGCATCATTGGGAGGCCAGTGGCTGGAGGATCCCACCTCTCCTTCCAGGTCCCTGGTCAAGTGGAGCCCCACATGACAGCAACAGTAGCCAAAGTGGTGGATAAGGTGGGAAGCTATGCCCAAAGGGAGGCAAGCCAACCCCAGCACGGCACAAGATGGTGCGTGGGTAAGGCGAGGCTTTCAGAGGAAACCTCTGTGTCATTATGTTAGTGGTTATGCCCGACTCATGGTATGTGTTGAAGAACAACCTAGTCTGAAAGAAAGATTAGAGAACAGGAGAGAGTAATACATTACCTACACTTGCCACTAGTCTTCTAGTACTGTACAAGGAATCGCTCTACGTTTCGTAATTCTACAGTGACCATTCTTCTAACTAGGGAACAGGTAGTGCCAATAACTGAATAACTGTGAGCAATCTAATTGACTGTGAGCTGCCTTAACCCTCCTATGGGGAGAAAGGTGGCAAATAAATCAAATAAATCAAATCTAGCCACCTAGAGTGGTCGAAACGACTAGATAGGTGGGGTATAAATACAATTAATAATAATAATAATAATAATAATAATAATAATAATAATAATAATAATAATAATATCACAGTTCAGTGATGTTAATGACGCAAGAAGCATTCCATTTCAATATACCAGAAACACAATGTTGATTTTGTTACTTAAAATAATTTGTAAGAACTAACACTCTGTTTGGGAGCTAACAGATATGAGCAGGATATGCCACTCTATAACTATTATAGAGTTGTTGTTGTTGTTGTTGTTGTTGTTGTTGTTGTTGTTGCACTCTACACAATCCAATAGTCAAAAACAGTTAAAATACAACCATAACATAATTACAATGATAAAAACATACAGTAAACAATTATCATTCCATAAGAAAATAACAACAATCAAAATAATTATAATAATGTAATAATTGAAGTACAGTAATTCTATCCCAATAATTGTCTATTTCCATGGTCAATCCCTATGGTTCCAGGTTGAAGTAGTAGTTTTTTAGATCTCATTTGAATTTGTCCAACTCTAGTTCCACGCGAAGGTACTGCGGAATTCCATAATTTGGGGGCCAGATGAGAAAATGCTTTAAGTCTAGAATTAGAGATCCTCTAGGGCTGCCTTCCTGCACAACACATGAATCTTTATCTTCTTTTCTTGCTTTTACAGTACTTGCTACTTTTAACAGAAAAAGTGAACTCCAGACTACTATAATCTAAAGAAAGCTAAAAGCTTTTGAATAAAAACAAATATGCAGCTTTGCAGAGTGGTCTTAACCGACCAGATAGGCGGGATATAAATTAAATGAATAAATAAATAAATAAATAAAATTCTTGCTGCACAAATAAACATGAAAAGAGGAGGTTTGACTCTTGCACTAGGAACAGGATGAGCAGATTAAATTCCCATACAGCTGCTTAATTTCCTGCATTTCACATTAGCTCAGTTTTTTAGCTAAACATGTGGGAATAAGAGTAAGAATGACTTAGTAAATTAGGCTACTTGGATGTAGAACAAAGTTTCTGTGACTGTACAGAAATTCAATACATGCACCATTTACGTGCATGCAATTTGTGCCCCTCCATGTATTCAAAAGAAGACATAATAAATGGATGAGATAATGCTGTTGAAGTAGCCTGCTTCTGGTCAAAATTAGTCTAATTATTTTAACGTTTTAATTGTTTTTCATTTAACCTATATTTCATATACGTCCATAACTTTAAATTGTGCAACACTCTGATACAAAGGAAGAAAAAAAGGCTGTGACAGTCAACAAGCTGGTGGGTGAATATAGTCACATCTTACTGTGGTTGCTTCACCAGCTTGAGTGCCATATGAATCAATATTGAACAAGATAGTAGCCAAACAATATTTTCCTTAATGTGCATCATTTTCCTACACATCCCTTTCCAGATTATTCCCCTCCTTCATTTTCTTTTAAACGCCCCATCAGTTTGCTTGAGGGCTGGATCTTCAGTCTTCAGGAAAATGACTCATTGTCTTTGTTTCTTCTGGCAGAAATGCAACTGACAAGTAGGAACTGTTGTTGGAATTTCTTTTTCTGAGTGTCCTAAATTGCAACAATTCTATGGGAAAGTGCACATAGCATTAGTACAAATTCTCAGGTCCACCTTGAAGCTAGTAATGGCCAGGTGCTATAACATGCAGCGCATGTCCTGCACAGTTTTTGACCTTGCCTTCAGCATCTTTCCAGGAAGATGGTAAAAAATAAGTTTGAAGACCCTGCCTCATGTTAATTTCCTGTCGCTATGTGCCACCAAGTCAGCCCTGACTTCTGGCAACCCTATGAAAGAGTCATCTCCAAAATGTCTGCTCCTGAACAGCCCTGCTCAGTTCTAGCAAATTCAAACCTGTGGCTTCATTTAGGGAGCCAATCCATCTCATATTTGGAGTTGTCTTTTCCTGCTGCCTTCCATTTTCCCCATCATTATCATCTTTTTCCAAAGAATCCTGTCTTCTTATGATGTGCCCAAAGTAAGGATAGCCTTACAGTTTTGTCGTTTTTGCCTCCTGAGATAGTTCAGGTTTGATTTGGTCCAGGACTCCCTTGTTTGTCTTTCTGGCTCAACCCTCTTGCTTTGTTACCTAAAAAGGGTAAACGTTCAGGTAAATAAATAAATAAAGTAGAACATAGTTTCATCCGTTTTTTTCAGTTGGGTTGTTTCCAGAACGGTCACTCTACTACTCAGAGGTGTTTTTGTTTGTTATGAAATAATTATGAGTTCTACCCCTTTCCAACATGTAATCATCATATATAAACAAGTTCTGAAAGCAAGAAATGTGTACTGGGTTTTTTGTTGTTGCTGCTGTATGTATATTCAGTGAAAGTAGAATCAGATCCTGCTTCTTAATGGAGCCTCTAGGTGTTGCTGTAATACAAATAATAAAAAATATATAGCCATGCATCTCCTTAAAAATTTGTCATTGTGGTTTTTTTGTCTCTATTTCTCTTAATAATAAATTCCAGTTTTCACACATTGGAAACCCACACATAAATCCTGAATCTCTAACAGCCACTATGCAAAAGCAGATATTAAATAAAGAAGCTGCTCATCAAATTGAGAAGAGATTGCCACAGATGTACAAAGAGCGGGAAAAAGTAAGTAAATTTTAATTTGTTTTTGTTGCTTCAGTGCATGCATGTTTGTGATTAGTTAATTACTAATTTAATTAGATAGCAGGAGGAAGTCTGAACTTATTTTGGATTCTAAAGTCTCTACATCTAAGTTTACATTCATAGTTTTTGCCCTGTCATATTCTGTGCATTTTGTAACATTATGAATTGTATATTATACAATGCAATGACAAAAGGTTCGCAACAATACATTTTTTAATGCAGTCAGGTCTGTATTTCCATAGTCCATGCCTCATATCAATAAAAATAATGACTGGACTGGCCATTCACTGATATGAGTACCTGTAGTTTCTATTACTATATTGTGGTGCTCCACCCGCCTCAACTTTTTCTAATGGTGAAGAAACTGCAGGAGCATATCAATCCATGTTGGTTTCTATTGGAAGGAGGAGATTTGCAAGGTTTTGACATATACAGACCTAAGTACAGGCAGAGACAGTAGTACTGTAAGAGGCTCCAACAGCCAATTCAGTTTCTCTCACCTATCAGGAAAAGTGGTATCATATACTGTATGTGTAATGCTGTTTCCTCATAGGAAACTTGACTGAGGTCTCTGATTATTGCTGCACTATGGTGTAGAAATGATCTTGTGCTTTAAGGCAAATCAACATTCTATAAGGTATTTCTAAAAATGGGGGCAACCCAAACAAAAAATTATAACTTTGAAACTATACTTCATATCAGTGCCATATAGTTTGTTGTTGTTTGGGGGAAATTGGGGGAAGTTTTTAAGTTATGATTTTTTAAAAAAATAAAAGTATTTACAGCTCTTGTTCAAAAATTTAGGTGATGTTAAACATCCACAGATTAAAAAGCAATCATATAAATTCAAAATATCATTCTTGCTTATCTTAATAGAGAATGGTTGGCACCAAACAACTTCTTAATTTGGAAAGAATCCAGGCTGCAGAAGCTGAAATACTAATCCTCAAAAAAGGCCTTTCAAGAGAGAAAATTGGCTGCTTTGTTATAAGACTGAGCATGTGTAATACAGGCTAGCCAGGAGGAGCTTTGCAAAATGGAACATTTTATACATTTGCAGGAAGTGGGGAGGGAGAGAGAAAGGCCACAGAAGCAGATTAAAAAGACAGGTAGTTCTTTAAAACGTTTTTTAAAAGTGTGCTTAAAGAAATTAATGGAATGGCAGTCCTCCAGAAAGGGGGATATTTTGCCATGTATCTCACAGAATTTCACAGAATTTCTGGGACCAAACAATCTCTTTACATAAGTTTTCTGAGGGGGATCTCACAAAATTTCTGGAACCAATCTCTTTACATAAGTTTTCTGAGGGGGAGTCAGCACCAGGTTTGGGACAATTTGAACTTTTGATCCTGTGAATCAGGATGTAATTAACTGACTCTTAGCTAACTTTTTAGCTACTTTCTGGCCAAAAGGCTTATCAGAATCAAGGAGGAGGGTTTCTGTATCTAGTTGTAAAAATGGAGACAGAAAAATAATACTAACTTTTTAAAAAAATAGATATTGTACATATATATATATAAAAGAACACAGAACAAATATTCAGAAGCTCAGCCATGTGGGCTGTGAAATTACTGTTTTTGGCTTTGTGACTGGGGATGGATTTACGTACTTGATGTTGGCACAGCTAACATTGTGTCATACTCTTCTGCCGCAATCTCCATTCCCTCCATAGGCAACCCTTCTCATGTACCTTTTTGCCTGCTGCCCCCCCATACCACTATTCCTAGTAATATTGTCTTTTCCTATCAGTTCCGTATTCTCATTATATGAGCAAGGTAGGATATCCTTAATTTACTCATTTTTGCTATAGTGAGAATTTAGATTTGACTTGATCAAGGACCCAATTACTGTATTAGCCTTTCTGGTAGACTGTGGTATCTGTCCTTAATTTACTGATTTTTGCTATAGTGAGAATTCAGATTTGACTTGATCAAGGACCCAATTATTAGCCTTTCTGGTAGACTGTGGTATCTGTAAGGTTCATCTCAAATGAGTTGATTTTCCCCTTCCATATTTCTTCACAGGCAGTGTTTTAAGTAGTATAGATGATTTTGGCCTTGGTTTCAAGTGACAGTCCTTGCTAACTCCCACCTCCCCTTTTTTCTTTCGAAAAGCAAGGAGACATATTTTGGGAAGCACGCAAGCAACATGTTTGTAGAGCAAGGGTTTGGAAATTGGAAGATGGTAAAGCTTTCTAGTCTGCATTCTGCAGAGCAGGCATACCAACATTAGCTTACCTGAGAGGTCAAATGGTGTGTGTGTTCCTCTGCTGCATTTGTTGCACTCACACTTTTACTTCACCATTTCATTAACTTCAAAACAGCATTTCAAAATATTTTGGCATAGAGAGACTGTAGCCAAATCCCAGCTGTTCTTGGTTCTGCCCTCCACTAGCAACCATATTACAGAGAATGCAGTCCTCTTCTGGGGCAGTCTAACACTGGGTAATTATACATGAGGGAATTTGCTGTTGGAATGTGTGTGTAGTGTACATATACTTAAACGTTCATTTTTAAAAAAGCCAGGAAATTCCGTTCAAAGTCACTATAAGAATGAGATTCCTTTTAGTAAGCGTGGGGGGGGGGACATTAGCAAAATTTACTGAACCTTTTTGAACATGAAAAGAAAAAAATATTCAAGGAAAAGGACAGGGGGCCTACCTTTAATCCACACACTGCAGCTAAGGGTGCTGTAGCCTAGGTCACTCTGTTTGCAGTTGTTACTGAGGAACACACACACACACACACACACAGAGAGAGAGAGAGAGAGAGAGAGAACACAAACTATAGTTTCTGAATTCTTCAAAAGAAACTTGCAGTTTATAAATGTGGGATATTGTGCTTCTGTATCCACAATTCAGAACTTCAATAAATGCCCTGATATTGCTGCACAATACCATGTGAACATTGCCAGCAGGAAAAACTATGTCAGTTTACATAGCAAAGGGCGACCTGAATATTGCAGTCAAGATGATCTACAGCAGTGGTCCCCAACCTTTTTAACTCCATGGGGAAGGCAGGGCATCCACATGCACAAAGGGGTGGGGCGGGTGGGCACTCGGGGGGCATTCGTGCACACTCGCAAAGTAGTGGGACGTGCATGCACCAAGGAGCTGTTTGGGAGGGCAAGAGTGCATGTGGGGGGGGAGATCTGTCTCCGCGGCCCGGTCCAGCCCAGGCAGCGGCCCAGGGGTTGGGGATCCCTGATCTACAGGATACCCTTTTGTCCATTTGTTACCCAAACACAAAGTAATTGTTATGGCTGTTTTTCAACAAGTTGAAGTTTCTTCCTGGCACTCCTCCCTCCCTGCCTGCATTTCTCGCTCCCACCTGCAAACCCTACATAATCCTGAGTTGCATTGTGTGGATTAAAGATAGGTCCCCTGTCCTGTTCTCTGAATGTTTTTTTCCCTGTTCAGAACATTCCTGCTTTCTAAAAATAATTTCATTCTGAAAGTGATTCTCTTCTTTTAGTTTATAGTCATATGAACTCATTAGAAAAAATGGTTTTGTTTTGAAACTGGAATCATTTAAGAATATGAAAATTGTACCAAGATCAATACTGCAGTCCCTTTCACCTATGTTTGATTGCCAGTTCATCATTTCTTCATGTGCTTGTGGATATGGAAATTGTTTAGCAGTTGGAACAAACGCCGAGAATCAGAAGGTCAGAAGTGATTTTTCTGTTTAGCTGGATATAATTGACAACATTTGCAAGTCATTTGAATAATTGTAATGCATGCTAAGCCACAGATGGCAAACAGATATACTATTTTGTGATACTCTTAATATGAAATTGTTAGCCTAACCTTTAGGGGAAAAATAATGTATAAACATAATCAAACAGGCTAGGAAATCATGAGATGGGGGAAAACATATTAATATGGGCTTCTTTAAATATGTGCAGCACATATTGCCTCAAGTTCTGTACAGTATTTATTTATTTACAGTATTTATTACCCTCTGTGGAGTCTAAGCTCTCAGAACAACAGCAACAAAATTAATAACATACAATAAGACCACTACAAATCGAAAACCACAAGCAGAGCTGAATAAAATATTATTATAAAGTGACATACAGACTGACAGCACAATCCTGTATATGTATACTTCGAAATCAATATCATTCAGTTCAGTGAGACTTGTACCAATAAAGTCAATATAGGAGTGCAGCATAAGGCTATGACAGAAAAATTTAGAGGAAGATATATTTTATATGCATTAAAACAAGTATTCTGCTTCCTACCATGTTTCCCTGAAAATAAGACAGGGTCTTATATTAGTTTTTGCTCCAAAAATGCATTAGGGCGTATTTTTAGGGGATGTTTTATTTTTTTTTCATTGACCACAATCTACATTTATTCAAATACAGTCATGTCATCATCTTCTGGTTGCTGCCCAATGGTGGAGGGTGGGGTTTCACTTGACTGGGGCTTATTTTTGGGGTACGGCTTATATTAAAAGCATCCTGAAAAATCGTACTAGGTCTTATTTTCAGGGAAACAGACTATGTGTTAAATGTTGAACTCCGAAAGTTGCAAGCACATACTGGGTTTAGTGAAGAGTAGTGCAAGAGGCTAAAGATACAGGGAAAGGAGATTTACACTTCCTTGTAAACCATCTGTTCTTTTGGCCACTGCTTAGAAGAGGCTATTAATTCATTGATCTACAGTATTTTGGTCTGAGATGTCTTTCCTTCTACATTTGTTTATGTTCTTTTGAATATTGAAAAATATTCCAACAAGTATGCATGTTCACTTTATAATGGAGGAAATCTGGCACATCAGAATTAACAATACTCCATTAGATGGTGTATGATGTCACAAAACCTGAATGTGAGAATTTGCTTTACTAACAATACTCCAAAACCTGAATGTGAGAATTTGCTTTACTTCAACAGTTTTTTAATAATTGTTGGAGAAGTCTTTTCCTCAGTTCAGAAGAAATTGGAAACTGACTGTGGGTAGCAGCTGATTGCCTTTA